GACCTAATAGCGATGGCCTCCAACCTAATAGCGATGGCCTCCAACGGAATAGCGATAGCCTCCAACCTAATAGGGATGGCCTCCCCCTAATAGCGATGGCCTCCCCCCAATAGCGATGGCCTCAACCCAATACTGATGGCCTCCCACTTATGGCGATAGCCTCCAACCTAATAGCGATGGCCTCCAACCTAATAGCGCTGGCCTCCAACCCTATAGCAATGGCCTCCAACCTAATAGCGATGGCCTCCCCTAATAGCAATGGCCTCCCCTAATAGCCATGGCCTCCCCCTAATAGCAATGGCCTCCCCCCAATAGCGACGGCCTCAACCTAATACTGATGGCCTCCCACTTATGGCGATAGCCTCCAACCTAATAGCGATGGCCTCCAACCTAATAGCGCTGGCCTCCAACCCTATAGCGATGGCCTCCCCGTTATAACAGCGATGGCCTCCCCCCAATAGCGATGGCCTCCCATTAATGGCGATGACCTCCAACCTAATAGCGATGGCCTCCCGATGGCCTCCTCGTAATAGCGTTGGCCTCCCCGTAATGGCGATGGCCTCCCCCAATAGCAATGGCCTCCCCCCAATAGCGATGGCCTCCCCCCAATAGCGATGGCCTCCAACCTAGTAGCGATGGCCTCCAACCTAATAGCGATGGCCTCCAACCTAATAGCAATGTGTCCAATGGCCTGCAACCTCCAACCTAAAAGCAATAGCAAATGGGACAAAACGTCCTCGACATGGCCAAAGTCGCGGGTAGTGGGCGCTTGGAGACTCCCTGCAAGCGTGCTGATGGTTGGAGGCCCAGCTGGCTCGCAAAAGCAATCATTTTCTCCTGAACAGGCACTTGAGTGCCTCTAGGCTTCATAAGCTAGAACTATACAGAGATCACATGCACAGGCTGAAGCCGAGCTTTATAGCACATTATGGCAGCACATCGTTATTCAGGTACTTCTGTGGTAAGATCAACAAATGTGTTTTGTGAAAACCGTTTTCCCCGGTCTGTCGGCAAATTCTTTTCAACCAAAGGCTCGATAATAGCGAGAAAACTCGATCTTTGTTGTTTTTCAGGCTTTGCCCGGGTCTCTCTGCCAAATATTTCAAATGCGCGGTAAAAACGGTAAAAGTCAATGCTTGTCCGTGTTGCCCAGGTCTGTCGGCCAACTGTTTTTACCAAAGTCACGGTAGAAACGGCAAAAAGATTCAACAAAAAGAAAAACAGTTTCACAATTTTCTCTGTGGGGGGGTGCTAGTCGGGTACCTCTTAGCAAAACAACGCGTGCAAACCGGCTTAGTTTTGTCCAGGATCCCAGAATTCACCGCAGTCCTGAAGGTGGCCTGTGGTCCCGCTGCTTCCTGATCAGTCATCATTAATTACCGTAGTACAAAGAGCTTGTTTGTATTTTTGGTAAAAGCTGGTTTTGTTTTCGAGGATGAACCTTTCGTGTACAAGCACTCTGTAAGCAACCACACTGCTGGACCCCTTGCAACATACAAAGTGTGTGCTTGCCTGCAATTGAACTACTCGTCTACTGACTGTTGCTCTCCCTCACCATCAAGTAGCCAAATAGTGAGCAAACAAAAAGAAATTTGAGAGCATTGACGCAACGAAGATTCCGTGCAAGAGCCGTTGGACCCTCCACGCACTTCTTGACTCAGTCACCAGAGACGCTAGACCTGAGATCCAACCGGAAGTGCTGGGGCACTCCAGCGTCGGTAGATGGCAAAGACCCATCCAATCTGCACCTGTTCTGCCGGGAAGGCTCTTCTTTTGTTGAAAAAGGGCAAGCACAGCAGGAATCTTCTGTTCTTCAATACAAATTTAAATCCCTAGGAGCAAGGACGCTACTAGGGGCTACTGGCCTTGCTATTAGGAACAAGAAGCTACTAGAGCCCCCGGCCTACTACTAGGTGCAAAGGATGCTAGTAGGGGCTCGAACTCGTCCACGCGGAATCGGTGAATTCAACAGCTCTGCAGCGACTCCGGACCGTGCCTTGGTGGTCTGTGACTTGCACTAGCTCCAGTTTGTGGGGCGCGCAAGTCCAAAGGAAGAGTGGGGAGCCCTTGCGCAGCAAGTGGTCTGCAACTACTCGGCCAGAAGTCCAAAGCCTCCCAGAAAGGTCTACTTTCACGGAAAACTCGGGAGTTCAAAGAAGACAGGATATCCAGCTTTGATTCACAGCAACATTCTTTGCAACACTGGCGCTGGCAACTGCTGGCCTGAGTTTGTGGGCCCTTTGCAGTTGGGTCAAGTAGTCGTTGTCGGTTCCTCCTTGAAGCAGCACCATGTCGACAGAGCTCTCCTAACATGCGGAGTGCTTGGTACGCATGGTGACACGTGTTGACGGAGACAAGCTGACAGGGAACTAGAAAGAATTACAAATAAATAAGTTTTCAAAAAAATATAGGAACCAAATCATTAGTGCGAGCGCTTCAAGGAAGCTTCCCCCCCACCGCCTTTAGGGCGGCGGCGGGGGGGGTTCCTTGAAGAAGCGTGAGGGGCAAAAAAGAAGGCTAAAAAGCTTTCATGAATGAAATCAAATGAATAGATCTGTCCAGTCTCTCCATAAGACTCAAGGAGTTTCTCCAGCACGTCTTCAAGATCACCCAGCATGTGCTGCAAAGAACCGCTGAGACCTGCTTTCTTGGTGATATACCGTGCAACAGCGGTGTGAAATGGGTCCTCGGGATTAACAGCAAACTGAGCAAAGCTTCACTCCAAAGCGAAATCGACTGGCGCAAAATTGCCAATGGCAACAGCGGTCCTGATGTAAAGTGACGACATGCCCGCTGTACTCCTGGGCCCGCGCAGCCAGACGGAGCCCAGCGCTCCAGCCTCCAAGGACCAGGGTAAGCTGTGGCTGCTGGGAGGCCAGCTCGTCCAGAACAGCTTCGCCTGATACAGGTGAACACAGCTGAAGAGAACTTTGCGTGTGTTCCTAGTAGCGATGCCCTTGCTCCTAGTAGTAAGGCCAGGAGCCCCTAGTAGCGTCCTTGCTCCTAGTAGCTAGTAGCAAGACGTCTAATAATTCTACATTTGTGCATTAACAAAGTCCACTTGTCCTGTTGCCACTTGTCCTGGACACAAATGTTGAGCTTGAAAAATGTTCCTTCAGCGTAGGCAAATCAAATCGGTGCTAGATAGAGACTCATGCACTATTGGGACGCAGGATTCGGCTTTGTTCTCCAAACTGTCTCCCACCGTGTCAGACGTCCTTGTTGCATCACCTTTTGGGCTACAATGCCCCAACTCGTTGAGTTTACATTCTTTTCCTCATGTCATAAAGAGGAACCGCTTCGACTCCTATCTGCTTGGGCAAGAAAGGATTTGGGTACATTCAGTATATTATATACTGGACTACAGCATTCTATATGTATATATAAATTGAGACAGGGCACGAGTGCCCAAACAAACGTCGAGGCTTTTGCACGAAGATCCGAACTCTTCTACACACTGCAGAATGTCAGCCCCACTTTGCTCGTGCTGCACCACTTCTGACAACAACCTTCCCAGTTCAAACAGCTCCCCCTTCTCAGAATCCTCCTCACCCATCTCACAGCTCAAAACGCTCTCTGGGCTCTGAGCCCAAAGACATACGGCTCGCAAAGGCCCCGTAGATGCAAAGTCAGCCAGGCGGCTCCAGAAAGGTCCCGTCTCGCTGCCTATTCTTTCTGCTGTTCCTAAGAAGAGCCCGAGCAGCCGGGCATCAGAGTCATTTGCTTCTGCCAAATGCATTGCATCGGTCAAACAGCCGGCCCTGCACAAGGAGTGGCAAACGCTGTGCAGCTCGTTGGGGCTCAAGCTTTCGGCAGTGAAGCGCTGAAGCGCAATTTCCAGGATGCATGGAAAATCTTTTTTGAGAACGTCACTTCCGTCAAAGCACAGAGCCACCAACGATCCCAGCAAATTGATCAAACTGGTGGAATCCACTTCGGGCGCCCGCTTGAGCGAGACTTGAAGCCTCAAACAAATGTAAGAAAAGAACACACCCTCGAAGCTGAACAACATAGAAACCCTAAGGCCCTGTAAAACTTCTGCCCCAGTGAAATGGAGTCAAGATCTTGCTCAGCAACAAATCTTGCAAAAGTTCCTGGTCATCCAGGCCAAGCTTGGCAAAGGCCCATGCCAGGGCACAGAACTCATCAGCCTGGAAGTTCAAGAGCTTGCCACCTCTTGAGATGCTGATGAAGGATGCCACAAGGCCTGAAAAGGTCTGACAGAAGCACTGGGGTTGTAATTGTCTGCAGCTCCTTCCCACATCTGATCTACATCTATTAAATATATATATATATACAGTATATATAATGTAAAGGCAGTGCGACCCCCCTGCCTGGCTCAGAAAATGGAGTCAATGCCTCAAAAGACCCAAACGCCCAGGCGCAGCTTGCCACCTGCTCAGGCTCCATGACATGCAAGTGCTTCGCAACGTAGCCGCTCAGCGCCTCCAGCAGTGGCACATGTACCACCTTGGCCGCTGCGAAGGCCCAAGCCAGCTGCGAGGCCATTTGGGCACTGAAGCGTCGCACAAAGCCCATCTGCACCGCATGGTCTGCCAGTGACTCGAACAGTTCAACGTCGGTCGCCTCCAGCTTGGCCAATGCCCAGCAGAGACGGGACACCTCAGTCACTACCAAAACCATGGTCTGCACCGGCTCTGGTGTATTTCCGGTATTTCCAGGCCAGTCACATCAAGTTCTGTAAACTCCGCCACCATGGTCTTGGCCTTCTGAATGATGGCATCGCAAAGTTCTCTATTTGGAGCCTCCAACCTTGCACACACCCATGCCTGGCGCAGTTTCACGAACAGCATCAGAACTGGCTGGCTCTTAAACACGCTCCCAACCTTCGAAGCAGACCCCTCAATCTTGGTTCCAAACCTAAAACTATTTGTTGGTGTAGGTGAGGATGTGATGAGCAACTGCCGGGCGACAATATTTGCCAGGCACTGTGTTGTCAAGTCGTCCAACAGTCGTCTGGCAGCCACAGAGATTTCTTTGCAAAGCTCCTGGCATCAGGGTGACCAGAGTCGCACAATATGTTCCTTCTCAATATATATATATATATATATATATACATATATATATATATAGTATGACACATTTCCTTGAATTACGGTGGACATCTTGAGATGAAGGAATTCTGTCAGCACCCTCCTGGCTCCCCCTGCAGGCATTCCCAAAGGCCCAGGCAATCATGGACAAATCCACGGACTTCGCCTCTGCTGCCCGCCGGATTGTTGTTTTCTCAAGGAGCTGCCAAAGATCTTCGAAGTTTTCCACTAGGTCTAGCTTCGACATCGCCCAACCTCAGCTCCGCGAAAAACAGACAATTCAACTCACAACTCATATCCTCATATTAGAGAACTTGAAGAAGCCTTCAACAGTTCCATGCTTCAGGAAGTTGAACAATTATGGAATATAATATATAATCTTCTCTCAGTCTCTCAGCCCTACAAGCCTTGCTCAAGAAACGTGCCCTGCAATAGAGTTTCTACTTCTCAACTAGCCCAGGTTCCCCCCTGTGCAAACCGCTAAAGCAAGATTAATGTAGCAACCATCTATATACAAAGCAGACCCTTTGCGGTTCGGCCATGCTCTGTATTACCACTTCGCCAGGGCTCAAATCTTTGCCAGGTCCGTGCTGCTCAGCACTTGCACTTTGGCTGCAGCTGCAGCACTTAGCTCTCTCGCTAGCTGTTCGTCCCGCCAGCCCAGCTTGGCGGCAGAATGGGCCACCATAGCCAGTCCTGGAGAATCGTAAATCAGGGCATGCTGTGACAGAAATCACGCATGTGAACACGCAAGTGAGGATCGATGATCCAAGGCACTGAAACCGCTGTCAAGCAAAAACCTCATCTAGGTGCACCTCGAATCTCTTGAGTCTCTTCTGCTATCTTCTTTTGAGGTTTTGCTTGAAGCTTAGAAACTGAGCCAGCGCCAATTTGGCAAGCCAGCTGGTCTGACAGCAAGTCCTCGTGGCTCAAGTACGGGGATACACTCATGCACACGGCTCAGGAGCGCACTCCAGGCCGGGTAGCCAAATCTCAACGTCAGCAGGGTCCTCTCAATCTGAAGGCTTTGACCCACACATCGGAAGAAGAAAAATGCGACCTACTAGCAATGGCCTCCACCCTACCAGCGATGGCCTCCACCCTACCAGCAATGGCCTCCACCCTACCAGCAATGGCCTCCACCCTACCA